TTCCTTCTGGGCTGTAGAAGCATCTGCCAGCTCCTGTTAGTTTATCTCTGCACCTCATCCAGCACCCTGGCACTGTCCTGCCACGCAAAAACACCGGAGGTTTCAGGCTGGCAGCTGAACCAGGGACAGGAATTCAAAAGTACACAATCAACACCAAGATGATAAACATGACTGTCATTCTTAACTGCAGATGGGAACACCTTTAAAACAATTTCATCTATATTCTAAGTGCCCTAAGGGATAGAAGAGTGCTGGGGAGAAGTAGAAACCTGAACAGAAGCAAGCCTTCACCTTCAGAGAAGGAAGTCGTGGAAGACAACGGATTTTACAGTTAGTCAAGTGTGAACCTTAGTGCTGTTCCTTTCTCACGGAGAAAGTTCCTTAAACAAAATCAGAACCAATGAACCAGTTTTAACTGTCAGTTTGACACAACCTACAATCACCTGAGCAGAGTCTTGGTTATGGGGTCTTAATATCTCACTGAAAGGGGAAAACACATCCCACTATTGGCAACACCAATTCCCCAGGCAGGGGACCCTGAATTGTGTAAGAGTTTATACAACCGCAACCCATTATGCACGCACTCCTGCTTTCCAAACATTTGTCCCTCTCTGCTCCACTCTTGACTCTGCCTCTTCAAAGACCATGAAGCATCTCGTCACTAAGCCTGCTGAGTTTCCACTCTGCTTCCTGTGTGGTTCTACTGAGTTAGTCTGTTTAACTGCCCATTGTCCACGTGGTACTCACTTTAAAGACGTGTCACTCATCTTATTCTCTCCTCCCTCCCTCAAAAACCCTATTGTCTGACCTCCGGGAGAGTGAACTTTCACCCCTACATGTCATCCTTGGCTTTGACCTGAGCTCCTGTTGCTCATCTTCAGCCACCAGTGGTCATTTCCAATCACGCTCCTAATAGAATGTACTTAGAAGTGGACTTTTAAATTAACCTCAAATGATGACACTTGGTGTTACTTTTTCTTACTTCTGGAGGTGACAGCATCATTTTACAAGCCAGCTATCTGTCTGTCTGTCTGCCTGCCTGTCTGTCAGTCGTCATCTATGTCCATCTGTATATCTAGTTCCAGTATAAAACATTGCTGACGCCTTTGACAGATGAGGAGAGGACCCACCCCCTTAACCACCAGCAGCACTCAAAACCTCAGGCCCTAATCCTCCCCTGGGCAGCACAGTAGAGCTCACCATGGTGGTGACAGAAAACTGACCCTGAGAGCATGAGACTGGGTTAGCTGACCACATCCCCTTGTACCGAGCATTTCTTCCCGCCAGCCTGGTCCTTGAGCCACCTCAGTCCCAAACGAACACGCAGGACACTGTATCAATATATTAATTGTGAAGCTATTGGTCATTTGCTATGGATTCTTAATGGCTAGCTCTGACTGAATTACTAACCCATAATTACTTATATTTTTTAAGGTCTTATCTTACCGAGAATTCCAGACTTGTGCCCTCTCCTCCTTGGATCACACATCGACTCTCTACTCTTGACTACATTTCCCAGAATCCTCCTCGACTCCTAGTCCCACCTATCTTGCTTCCCTATTGGCCAACAGTGCTTTATTTATCAACCAATAGGACAACATATACACAGAAGGACTTCCCCCATCCATCGCCCTCTCATCTGCTATATGGTGGTGAGGGTGAGCGAAAGATGCCCTCCCCCTTTGCCCCTGCCACCTGCGATGGGCAGGGGAGGGTGCTGACCCTCCCCGTTACCAGCTGCAGCACTGGGGAAAGAGGGCCTGCATCTTGCCTGCGCAGCACAGCAGAGCTGACCCTGGGGACAGGGGATACAGGTGAACCACTCCCAAGAACGTGAGTGTGGGAGATTGGGCCCTGCACCTCATCTGACACATGGTGCTGTGGGTGGCAGACAGATGCCCTTCCCAGCCCCTTGCCTGTGGCAGGTGGGGGAGCTGGGTCCTGAGGTCATAAGAGCAGCAGAGCTGTCCCTGCTCCTCACCAGCATCGGCACTCGGGAGTGTGTCCCCTGTACCTCACCTGGGCAACACAGCAGAGCTGGCCCTGATGGTGTAGATGCAGGAGAGCCAGCCCTGAGGATGTGAAAGCAGGAGAACTGGCCCTGCCCCCTCCTCACGGCTGCAAGGGGTGAACTAGCCAGGTAGCAATGCTGGAGAGCTCACCGTGGTGGTGAGGATGGGAGGGGTTGGTGGGGGGGCTGGCAGGCTGACCAACCCCGCAACTACCCATACCCAGGACCAGGGTTATGAGGTGGCCCACCCCAACATCCACCCTGTCCATCATCTGCGGGAGAATGTGAAGGGACTGGCCATGCTGTGAAGAGGCTGCCACGCACACCCAAATCTGCAGGATCTCCACAACACAGAGCAACAACAGGGTACCCAAAAAGAGTTCCAGTGAGAGCCCAGCATCAACCTTTTTTCCTTTCATTTTCTCGTTTTCCCTTAAATTTTATTTGGTTCTGTGGTGGGGGAAGCTTGCAAGGGTAGAGGGTGGGGACGAAGGCAAGGGGAAATGAGTGGGACGGAGACCCACGATGAGAAAGACACAGAGAGTAAATAAAAAGAATATTTTAAAAACACCGCTGATTGTGCAAATGCAAAATATTGCTTACTGTTTGCCTTACTAGATGGAAGCATATGAAAAGTCTTCCTACAGGTTAACGTTGGCCAAATACCTGCAATTAGCATGGTTCTCTTCACAGACATTAGTCTAGCAGGCTCCTTCATGCTGTGTGTATCCCGTGTCCACTTTGATCGTCACCTCTTATTCATCCCTCTAGAAATTTCTGCAGGGAAAAGACTAAATTCCTTCATTTCCTCACTTCCACCTTATATAAACGAATGTCAAATCTATCTTTGCATCTTCCTGTTTCGTCACCATCAGAGCCTCTTGTTGCAAATCACCCGGGCTTAGCATCATCTCTCTCCTCTCCCTGTGAGCACAGACATAACGGAGCAGTGTCTGGTGACACCCTGCTTACTGGAACTCAGATCTTAGACACATCCACTATCAACTTACTTCTCATTACTTCTCCCATGAATAGTCTTTCATGTTGTTTAAATACCCTTGAATGGTTTTGTAGGCTTCAATGTACGCTGTAACGATATGCGACACACAATTACTGAAAGTAAAGCTAAGTATTTAATGTAGAAATTACTCACAAGATACCAAACCCAGAGGAGCCAAGCAGTTTTCAGCGGCCAAACCGGAAGCCGAACTCCTGGAAAAGAGACCGAGACTTCCTGTGTGCTGTCTTTTATGCCTTTCCCCGTCCCCTAGCCATGCCCACGTAGTTCCGCCTACGTACGTATACGTCTTTACGTCCAGCCGTATACGTCTTTAGTCCTACCTAAAGTGGGTGTGGTTAGCGGTGTGGTAAACCGCCCTTTTATTACCTCATCTGTATGCGCCTCTAGTAAGTCACATGTTTAATGGCGGCATCAGACTTCCTCCTATATGGTTTTGCTTTGTTTTTTTTTTGTTTTTTTTTTGTTTTTTTTACAAAATCTTGTGTTTCCTTAAGGGAAGTATAGAGACTTATTAATCATAGGTGGTTAAAAGATCACTGCTGCTACTTTTTGGAGATGGATTTTTTTTTAATGCTCTGAAGCCTGACTGAGATAGCATCATTTAATCTCCCCTTCTGTAACACGCTGTCCTGCACAGACGCGGGAAGTCCATTTGGCTCCCTTTCCAGTTAATACCACTTTAGCTGCCCCCAGCACCTTGCACCATGACCCATCAATCTCCTGAGGAGACTCAATTTCATCAGAATGAAAACTGATGAAAGACACAGAGACTTCCCATCTATGTTTTAATTCCTGGACTAGACTTGAATTTCTTTACATCTCTAGCAATGAAATCTTGGAGATGTGTATCAACACATCTCATATTCACTAACCCCAGCAGCTTGGTGGCTATGCCTAAACTGGGAAGCTTTGACACATGAGTCCTGTGCTCCACAGGACGGCAGGATCTAAATATCCAGGCAAGAAAACCACCTCTTGTCATTGGGTCACAATCAGTGCTTTTGCTGCTGGCTGGATTCCTTTTAAAGTACCCCTGAACTTCTGTCTTTTATAGATAGAAATAAAATCATTCTTGAAAGCTCAACTGGTTCCCAAATGTCCTCTATCCATGTCACATCTGTTTTGCTAACCTATTGCTGAGAGTCAATCCAGGATGTTTCAAAACTAAACTACCTTCCAGATAATGCCCTCTTTGCCTTAGATGCTTGTAAATAATGCCTCAAAAGCATCCTAAAACCAGAAAGCTTTTGTATTTGTTGAGAGATTTCCATTACACTGGAGTTTCTTCTATTACAGAATGGAACAAAAGTCAAGAACATGTTGTTCTTAAACTTAAAAGATCCTGTTACTCAAAGAAGGAAAATGAAGGGCATGTTATTGTCTGGTACTTTGAAGACTATTTACAAAAAAGAAGAAGAAGGAACAGGAGTAGAGGGAGGAGGAGGAAGAGAGGGAGGATAAGGAGAGGGAGGAGGAGGGTGAGAGGGAGGAAGAGGAGGAAGAGAGGGAGGAGGAGGAGAGGGAGGAGAAGGAGGAGGGGGAGGAGAAGAAGAAGAAGAAGAAAGAGAGGAAGAGGAAGAAGGAGAAGAAGAAGAAGAAGAAGAAGAAGAAGAAGAAGAAGAAGAAGAAGAAGAAGAAGAAGAAGAAGAAGAAGAAGAAGAAGAAGAGAGAATGACTAGAGTTTTAAATTTAAAATGGTTTATACCTCTAAAAGTCTAGTAAGGGAAAAAGTGATAGTTCAGGGCACAATAAAAATTTGTGGGTAGGGGATAAAATGAGTTAAATCTGCCTATTTGTCTTCAAACAGGACATACTTAAGCTTTCTAAATATGTGATATGAAGTCATTTGGTTTAAATTCATGATTTAAAAAGCTAAGATGACATTTATTTAAATGTACCAAATTCAGTAATGATTGAAACACGGGAATGAAATTTCCTGTTTTAACTTTACTTAAAGATTAACTCTGGTGGGTCTTAAACCTTCCTTAGCCTTGTTACATTGTAATTAAAAAGATTGTACTTAATTTTAATTCCTCTGTCAAATTAGGAACGAAGAAGACTTCTATTTCATTAAGCAGGAAAAAATTCTCTTTACTAGGTTTCTTGACTGGAAAAGAAAATGGTGAAAGAAAGGAGCCTCTGTTTTTCTTCATGTTTCATTTCGTTTCTGCTTAGTGCCCATTTCTCTTCCCTTTATCTTGAGACAGCTGACAAAGACCTCTTACTATACATAGGTTTTCCTAACTCGTATTCGGGTGGTATTACCCAAAGGAACTACTCACCTGTAGGGACTCATGTCCATCAGTTCTCTCTTAAATAAAGACATCTGTAAGTTAAAAAGAATTATGATCATTTTCAACTACATGCCATTTCTCCAAATGAAAAATATATACAGTTTGCTGCTGTCTCAATAAAGACCAGAATATTCACCGAAAGTCCACAATATGGTATAGCAACTGAAGAGAGCATTGTGAGAAATGTGGGTGGATTGTATGGTATTTTGACTTTGCCAGTATGAGTTGGCACCTCTGCCATGGCTCCCTCTGAGCCTGGCCTCCGCTCGTTTCTACCTAGTGCAGCCTACTCCCACAATGTACTGGAACTGCTCCCTATAAGCACAGAGACTAATATTTTGTAATAAGCCCTCGGGAAGATTTCTGCTGAAACAAAGTGGTACAGACAGCCTGCCACCATCGCTTAAAAGCAAACCTGATCCTCGGTGCCCTCCGGTTTTACAGAGGACAAGGTAAGACACAGCATTACAGGAACCAGCAGGAGCAACCCCAGCATGGGAGACCCGTCAGTGGGCACCCGTCCTCACTGACAGCGACCCCAACGCAGGCCTGGCTTGAGCCAAGGGATGCTTTTTTGTTCATTTTAAGGCATTGTTTATATACTGAAAACATTTACATTATTTGGCTTTCCTGGTTCGTATATGAGGTACAAAGGGCTGAGATGTTTAATCCTCAACAAGATTATTCCACTTTTCTCCATCTGTTCTGCTATTGAAGTACTGTGCTTGTGAGAAACTGTTGCTTCTGACTCTCACAAATGACAATGCCTAGAGACGATGCTCGAATGTGGAAGGAGGCCATGTTTTTCAATCCTAGACTACCTCGATATGTTGCCCAGCTATGCCACTCAATATTGACCTCAAAGACTCCATGTCAGCATAACAAAGAAACATTTACACGTCAATGTTTACTGCAGCCCCTGTTCACAAAAACTAAACCACAGAACCAAACTCGGTGTTCAAGACATAGGCTTAGATAAAGGGAATATGATTTATATACACAGTGGAATTTTCTCAGCCATAAAGAGTGAAGTCAGCTGGGTGATGGTGGTGCCTACCTTTAATCCCAGCACCCTGGAGGCAGAGGCAGACGGATCTCTGCCAGTTCAAGGACTTTGAGTAAGTTTCAGGACAGCAAAGCTAACCAGAGAAAACCTGTTTTGAAACACCCCATACATTAAAAAAAAAAGAATAAAGTTATGTTGTCTGAAGGCAAAAAGATGTAACTAGAGATAACTGTATTAAGTAAATTAAGTTAGTTTTAGAACCTTTATTTGGGGTCCTTGACATTATGAACCCTATAAATCACATGCTTACCAAGGACATGAAGCTCAGAGGAGCACCCTGGCAAATGATGCATACAGAATTACATTAGGGTGATGGTTGAGGACATGGATGCTTTCCATCAGAGACTTTCCTAGATCTTCATCTGTGTGGCATAAACAGACATTAACTGCCATCTTAATTTCTTATTTATCCATAGTTCCCGAATCTGCAAACACATCACATTAGCCCAAGTTCTGCTTCTCTGTTGTTTGTTGTTTTGGGGGGTTTCGTTTGTTTGGTTTTTTTGGGTTTTTTTTTTTGGTTTTTTTGGTTTTTCAAGACAGTGTTTTCTTGTGTAACAGCTCTGGCTGTCTTAGAACTCACTCTATACACCAGGCTGGCCTCGAACTCACAGAGATCTGCCTGCTTCTGCCTCCCAAGTGCTGGGATTAAAGGTGTGCACTGCCACTGCCTGGCTTCAAGCTCTGTTTCTAATAAACATATATATTAGGGAAGTAATCCTTTTGATAATAAAGTGAGGGGGTGGAGAGACAGATAAGTCATTAAGAGCATTTGCTGCTCCTGCAGAGATCTCAGGTTCAGATCCCAGCACCCACATGAAAGTCACTGCCCTCTGTAACTTTAGTTCCAGGGGACCCAGTGCCCGCTGTGACTTCCACAGACACCAGGCAAACACGCGGTGCATTTACATACAGACACCAGGCAAACACGCGGTGCATTTACATACATGCAGGCAAACATTCATACTGATGTTCTTTTGCTGCAGTGACAGGCGATGAAACACGAATTGCCAGTCAACAAACCCACGTGGAGTCTCTTGAAGGGAAAGGGAAGAAGAGAAGGGGGCATTGGCCAACCGGGAGCAGAGAGAAAGAGAGAAGAGAGAGCAAAGGGAGGGTGAAGGTTGGTTATCTCTCACTCCCCCTTTCCGTTGACTCATGGTTCGTGTCTCGTTACTGGGTAAAACGTAGACATTTTGACAACAACGACCACGACACAAACCTGATACATGAGGTAGCTTGTTGGGGCCCATTCCCTGTGGTGGGACGCCATGCTCAGTCTTAATGTATGGGACAGGGGCCTGGCCCTGCCCCAACCTATTGTGCCAGACTGTTGACTGGCATGGTAGCCCTTACCCGTGAGGAGGAGTGGACTGGGGCGGGGCGGGAGGGGGGGAGTGGAGGGAGAGTAGGAGGAGGTTAAGGGGGTGGGTAGGAGGAGGTGTGGGAGGGAGGGCTGTGATTGGAATGTAAAATGCAATTAAAAATGATCATTTTTTTAAAAATTATAGGCAAAAATCATTTGAAAGTTATAGATGTAAAAATTGTAAAGAAAGTATTTCAAAGCTGGAAAAAACTTGAAAACAAACAAACAAAAAGTAATCTCTAGTGTTCTTGCCTCTTTTGTAAAGGGCTTTAAAAATAGCACGTGATATTTTTTCTTTTCTCCCTGGAAGAGGTAACAGAGGGCAGAAGTTTCCACTGTCTTTTTTTTTTTTTTCTAAATGCTCTGTTTTATCTGCCGACTGTGCTTAGAGAAGAAAGGAGGTGGATGACAGAGTCAGCTGCAAGGCCAGCAGCCGAGGTGCGACCCCAGCTACTCAGAAGCAGCCACTCCCACAGGGAGATTAAAAAGAAAGCTAACACGAAAACCCCAGACTGGAGCAAGCTTAACTGTTTCCTCTCCAGAGGCGACCATTAAGTCAATTTTGTCTTCATGTTGAAGGTGGTCAGAAATTGTTACTTTGCTTTTTCCAAAGGCAATACGTGGGAAACCCTTTAAAAATTGTTGTGAACATAATCTGAGGCTTAAAATCCTAATGTATGCCAGTGCGTTGAGTGTCAGTCTGTGCTTGCCCAGGGAGTCTCCAGGATCCTTCCTTCTCTATCCGCCAATGCTGGGTGGAGTTGCACACCAAAGCAGCTATGCCCAGCTTTTTATGTGAGAGCTACAGATTTGAACTCAGGTCCTCATGCTTGCAGAAACCCTCTAACCATCTTCCCAGCCTCGCCTTTGGAGGGCTGTATTTGCAGTACATGATACAGGTGGCCCTATGTAGCCATGGGATCCCTGACCACAGATTTCAGTCAATCGTAGATCAACAATGTTTTGGTTTAAAGTGTCTTAGTTTTTAGGGGGAGCTCATGGACCCCAGACTGATAGCTGAGAAACCAGCATAGGACTGATCCAGACCCCCAAACCCGGGTGTCATTGAGGAGGCCTTGGCAATCTATGGGGCCTCTGATGGTAGACCAGTATTTATCCCTAGTAAAAGAATGGACTTTGGGAGCCCATCCCACATAGAGGGTTACTCTCTCAGCCTAGACACACTGGAGAGGGCCTAGGCCCTGCTCCAAATGACTTGACAGACTTTGAAGATCCTCCATGGAAGGCCTCACCCTCCCTGGGGAGCAGACAGAGGATGGGATAGGGAGTTAGTGGAGGGAAGAGAGAAGGAACTGGGATTGACATGTAAAACAAGCTCGTTTCTAATTTGAATAAAAGAGAAGTGTCTTAGTTTTAAAGTGTCTATACTGAATTTATAATGGGATTTTCCTGTAAATAGCATTTATACTATATTAAGTAAAGTAGGAAAGCCAATATCCAAGGACAGAGGGTAGCTTGAGATGGCGAGGCCAAGGAGAGCCTCCTCTGTCCTAAAAGTAAATTGGGCAAAAGGCAATAGTTTCTCAGGAAATAACTCTACTTAAGGGATTGGAATGGGTGAGCAATCTTTTAAGAACTCGGAGTCCATCTACCTCATTCTAACCTCTGCCGTTACTTTCCACACAGCTGTGATCCCACTACTGAGAAGGCAGAGGGTGGGGGGTCCGAGGGAAACACTGCAGACTTCCAGATGAATTGCCAAACGCCCGCTTCGGCAGCAACCTCTGACTTCAACACTCATATGCATGTGAGTCTGTGTACCCCACACATATGAGCATATGCATACTGCACGTGTCTGTGTGTATGTGTGCGCGTGCGCACGCGTACACACACACACACACACACACACACACAGAGTCACGCAGAGACCCAGACACAGACCCACACACAGGACAACTGCTATTCCACAGTCTGAAGTTCACGCCAGCCACCACACTCGTTATTCCATGTAATATTTTACCACCATGAACAAAATCAACACTGAAGAAAGTGGAAATGAAGCAGGCCGTGAGGCTATGGTAGAAGAGGGCACATCTGCACTCCTCCTGTGCAGACCCAGGCCTTAAAATGAGCAAGCAGGTCTCTGACGTTGTATGAGAACATGCATGAGAGATAAGCAGTCCTGAACAGCTGTGGGTCCTTTCCTTCCCGCCTCCCTATTTTCAAGCCCCTACGTTCCCACAAAGTACTGCATCGTCCCCAAAGCCCAATCGGAGAGACTCAAAGCAATTGCACCTTTTCTCAGGGGTTAACACACACCAGAGTGTAGTTACCTAGTTTATCTCCATTTTGTTCCATCATATCACTTTTCTTTCATCTGACTCTTTTTTAGTGTCTCTGCAGAAGTACCGAAGTATCCAGCATGCTCCAACTGTGGCTGCTCCCTGTTCTGGACACTGATACAGGAACCACCTTGCTCTGACTGGGGGTCTCCACTCTTTCCATAACGTTTATCTCCTAGACATTGCTGTCTTTAGCGATCACATGAAGAAACGTAGGTGAAAAAAATCATTTTGTGTTATGTTTAAATTATATGACATGTCCTTAAATTGCCACTTTTCTTCGCTATAGGGGTAGCA